CAGGCAAATATCTGTTTGCTGTTGGTGGTAATGATGGGACTTCGTCACTTGATTCTTGTGAACGCTACGATCCACTTCTGAACAAATGGAAGCTTGTTGCGAGTATGCAGCATCGCCGGTTTGTTCTGCATTTTTACTTCCCAGAACTTCCAAAGATTTCCAGTACTAAGCTGGCTGGTCTGTCCCTTTAAAATTCATACCCAATCTTCAGAACTTACTCTTTGCTTGTTATAGAGCTGGTGCCGGCGTTACAGTACTCGATGGATGCCTCTACGCTATCGGCGGGTTTGATGACAATGCACCGTTACCATCATGTGAGCGTTACAATCCGGAAGACAATACATGGACACTGCTGTCACAGATGTCGTGTCCAAGAGGTACAGTTTTCTGATCGCACTGCAAGGAAGGAATATTCGGGATCCTCCTAGAAAATGAGACTTTGATTCAAGGTGGTGTTGGTGTTGCTTCGATGGGCGGACGAATTTATGCTATCGGTGGTCATGATGGAGTGCGTTATCTGAATTCTGTGGAGGCTTATGACCCAGTAATCAATCAGTGGTGCTCTGTGGCTACTATCAGCCAGTGCAGGTGCTTTTCAATTGTTTATTTTTGTTTGTCTGCATTCGACAAGCAGTGATAGTACAAAAAGGTAAATGCTGCTGCGAAATCGCACTATTATGCGACCTCGGCGGTGTTTTGTCGAACTTGCCGAAGTAGGTGATGCGCAGTGCGGCAAAGTTTCGAAGATTTGTGGTGTAAAGTGTTACTTGTTTATGTGCGTTAAGGAAGGTACTTTCAGGGCTGGTGCGGGTGTTGCGTGGGCCGAGTGTCGAGTTGATACACTGCTGCGGCCGCCATCGATGGCGCTCGGCAAAGACAGCGGGTGCGCGCCCTGCATAACAGGAGTGGCTCACTGTGTGTAATGTAAATTGTCTGATAGAGTTTTTGATAGCTCGTTTTTCCTCAGTAGTTTGTAGTGTTAGGCTGGGGAAGAGTGTAGTGTTTGTGCGCTTCTCGAGCATTGCATGCGCTGTTGTTGCGTACAGACTTACTTCCTTTTCTGCTTTGCACTGATGGAGCCTTGTCACACTGCTAATTTTTACAGAATTGCTTGATGCAATGTTTTCTTTTTTTAAAAAACGTGTAGATTCCCGTGTTGCAGAGCGCTTAGTTATGCAGCACAGCCCATCTTGAGCTGTTTTTGATGCAGTAGTTTGATTGCAATGCCCATTTCCCTTGCACTTACTAGCGGCGATTTATATTTTAGTGCGAAATTTAGATTTACTTTTTTCCTCAAATATTGTTTGAAGCATTTGTGAACTCAAAGCTGTGAATGATCTGCAACCAAAATGGACACTCTACCCTTGAAATTCCCGCATTTTGCCTGCAGTTGTTCAGATGTAGCACTTTTTTCTACCGTTCTAACATCAGTTTTACTGCCTGTGGATGGGGTTTTTTTTTTTTAATGTAATCCAGCATTTCCTAGAAGATAGCACCCCTTCCCCCGTCCCTCCGGCTGAATTTCGTGCTACGACTTAACTTCATTTCCCCTGACTCGATATGTGCGGTTTTTATGCCCGCTCGGCCTAGCAAACGGGGAACGGGCGCAATCTCCTGCACCGGGAATATGCCGTTTATCGTTTAGAAAGGATTTGTTCGAAGACGGTCCGGGTGACCGGATGAACAGAAGCAGGGCGTGCACGAGTTCACATAGTGCTTAATGTGTTTGCATGAGTGTAATTGAATTCCCGGTTTGAAACTGATTGCTTATAATTGCTGATTTCAATTTGCTTTAATGTTCAATAACACGTTTTCTCACTTTGGCGCGCCCATAACTTGTACATTTTCTCGAAAAACTCCCGTCGTCATATACAGTGGCCAGGATGGGTGGGTGTGTTTGTTTGGTTGGGTTTGTCTCTGTGTGTGTGTGTGTGTGTGTGTATGCGTATGCGTGCGTATATTATCTGAGAATATACATATATGGGCACCCAAATTTCACTACACCTATAATAGACAGTGAAAAGCGTGGCATAGTGATGCAGTTGAGCGCACACTCTTTTTATTACCGCTGGAAATGAACGAAACATCTAAAAGAAGCTACATAAAGCAGATCAACCGGGCAGCACAATAAACTGATCACCGAAGGCATTTACACACGCACGGTAAGAGGAACGCACAGAACTTTGCACAGTGTCAAAGAAATCAGTAAAGCCGTAGCTTCTTCGAGCCTATCTTAATGTGGAGTGATTCACAAGCACTTCTTTGGCTGGCGTGAAAGAACGTAGTAAAATAAAAAAGGGCAGTGGAACAAGATTATGAGCCAGTCCGAAAGTAGAGTTTCTTAGCAATCAGCTGGATTTGGTCATAAATCTATCATGAATTTGACGAAATTTCTGGGTAGCTGAGGAGGCAATAGGCGAAGTTTCACTTGTTTTGTTCAAGCGGTGTAAATCTGTGTCAGCTGAACCGCTGACTAGCATCAGTCGTCAAAGAAAATGGGGGGTGAAAAATGCGACGAATGTTTTGAAAGTAGTGATCGGATAGTGAATCGGGTAATAAGCCGACATTCGAATGATGTGCAACTGCCGAGGGCTGCCAGCGTTAAAGCTCAACAAATCGCGCACCCAAAGTGTAACTTGTAACACGAAACCGATACGGACGGATAAACCATCGAAATTGAACAGGCAAGCATTCAATTTGGCCGAAAAAGAAGTCACCGGGGTCATTTCGCTTTAATTAGTGAAATGAGTAAAGATTTAAATGTGCCCGGCCGTCGAAAAGCTGGTTTCGCCCAAACATCAAAAGCGTTGAAACGAAACCTATAGATGTGACAGTACGGTCGAAAGATGCGCAAGGAAGCGGACTCGGGGGATTACACAGTCAATAAAGGGTAGTGAGGTAGAGAGGTATGATAACAGTCGCACGCACTTCATTCATCCTTTTTGCTTTCCGCGTACGGCACTGTGTCGTTCTCGGACGTACCATCTGTTACATTTTGCTGCTCCTCATCCATTCCCGATTCGCTTGTACTTTCGCTTTCCTGGTCGCTGTCCCACTTCTTCCGCGCCAGCTTACTCTCCAGTTCCTCAATCGTCATTAACTAAAAAACAAAACAACATGATCACACTTCCAGCAGCAATGTTCGGCATGAGCTCGCTGAATAGCTCCAAGCAATTCCATAGAAGCACCAAAGCAAGGGCGTTTTAAGTAGAGTGAGAAAGAAGCAACTCACCTGCGGCACGACAAAATCCTCCTGATGATCGAGCGGAATCATCAAGTGCACTAATTTTTCTGAGAAAATCTCCACTGTTACACGCACTGGCAGTTTCTTCTCCTATAAAATGTCACATGACAAGAGAAAAATAAATAGGGCTCACGTACGGGCACGTGAAAACTATGGCGGGAAAATTCATAACTCGCGAATGAAATAAATGGTGTCAGACTAGCCGGTGCGATCATGCGTTTTGTGCAATTCAGCCCATCGAACGATTGTCTATTAATGGTTTTCACTGCTTTGTACTTTTGTCTATGCAAAAATAGTTCAGAAATTGGAAAATAGTTAAAAATCTCACGCACCAGCGCACGAAAGCTGAATTCGAAACCTTGAAGGGTGAATATCTTCCCGTGATTCCCGAGTTAATAGTTTGCCCGCCAAAATTCTCACGAAGCCGTAGGTGATACTCAACAGCGAGGAAGCGCTGAATCTAAATGGGCAAGGGTGAGCGTGGGCAGGGGGTTATTACCCTAAAATTTCAGCCCCCTAGACTCCGTGGTTCCTGAGATATTGACTTACCCGTAAAAAACTTTCACGGGGCCGTACGAGTTACCCGCGGGTACGGAAATGCTGAATTTAAATTTGCCGCCTCACCCGTTGGCGGGGAGCACTATATTAAAATTTCAGCCGCCTAGCTTTTGTGGTTCCCGAGTTGAAAGTGCGGGACAAAATGTGGGACACACACACAAACACACACCACAGACAACCCCGTGACAATATGCGTTTTGTAACGCTGTTACACAGCACAAAACGCATAAAAATGCTCATTCGCCCACACTATCCCTCTGCTCCATCCTCATCTGTCCTCCCACTACTGTCAATAGAGCGGCAGTTTTTGTTTTTGTATTTCCTACAGCATTTGAGTTCTCGGCGTTCCCCGCGGATACCATCCTTCTACTACTGCACTCTTCGAGTTCCTCAATTAGAACTGTCTTTCGAATCTGATTCCTCGGCATGACTCGCCTCGTTCCTCGGCCAGCACTCGCTTTCAAGCAACCAGTTTCGGCGCACTGGACTACTCCTGTGTTTACTTGAGAAGTTCTTCGGCGCAAGCACTGTCAAAAACTGCCGCCCTGAGGAGTTTGAAGGCCAGTCGGTGCAT